GCCGCCGCGCCCCTCCTCGCCCGCCCCCGGCTCGGTTCGGCCCGCTCCGGGAGCCGCGTCTCCGTCTGTTCTTCCTCCTCCTCTTCCTCGGGCCGCCGCCGCCGCCGCCGCCGCCCTCTCCGCGCCTCCTCAGCCTCCCTTCTCGCTCTCCAGCTCTCGCTGTCTCTCCCTCACCCTGTCTCTCTCTGTCTCCTTCCCTCTCTCCCTCCCCTCCCTCCGGGAGCCGGCGGAGAAGACATCGCCCCTCCCCGCGCCCCCAAACCTCGCCCATCCCCCTTACCGCTGGCTCCGCCCCCTCTCCTTACCCTCCCCCTCCTAGTCCTCTCAGAAGCCTGGTCCCCAAACCCTGACTCCACCCCCACTGGCCCCGAGCTCGCGTTGACGGGCCCCGCCCCCCTGGGATACCCCACATCCCCCACCAGGGTCGCCCCCTCCCAAAGCGGTCCCCATCCCCCTCTATACACAGTGTTGTTGTTGTTAAGTGCCATGGAGTCAGTTCCCACCCATAGTAGGGCGCAATGAATATTTGTTGTGGGGCTCTATACCCCACATTGGATTGTGAGAGTTATTGATTCCCTCCCTCCTGAGCACAGGACTACCGGTGGATACACCTGGCTCCACCACTACAAGGGGCAGGTGCACATGTGGGGAAGGGGGGGACAGGAAGACATCCCGGCTGAGATGAGCATGCACGCCTACACACAACACACCTGGGTGTCCTTACCAAACCCACAGTGTTCCAAGTGGGCATATCAATCCCTGTAGACATGTTAAGGAGGCCCCCCAGGGGGTGCCCTAGTATAAGCACTGGACCTCAAGTTCAGTAGTTCAAACTCACCAGCCGCTCCTTGAAAACCCTATATAGGGTCACTAAGAGTCAGAAAAGACTCAATGACAAGTAACAAAACAAAAAAGACATGTAACCCCCCCCCCCACACACAACTGATGGGTACACATCTCCATGTGCATGTTCAGATCTCCTGTGGGACACAGGAGGCACCCAGTGGTAGGGGATGGGTGCATGCTACTCCCCACCCAGCACCCAGGTACTTACAGATACACATCCATTAGGTGCCCCCCCTGCCAGCACGGCCTAGCTTCCCTTCAGAACAATTTCCGCTTCCTGTGTGCTGGGTTCTGTGTTGGCTTATCCACTCCTTACACCAACACTATGGACCAGGGACTTGGATCATCCCCATTTTGTTGTTATTGTTCTTAAATGCTGTCCAGTCGGTTCTGACCCACAGCAACCCAGTAGAGGATTTCTGAGCTGGTGAGCTTGAACCACCGACCTTGTGGTTCAAACTGACTTTGCAGTCTAGCGTGTTAACCCACAGCACCATACCATTTTACAGAGGGGGAATGTGAGGCCCAGAGAGGCCAAGTCACTTGGTCAAGGTCACACAGCTAGGAAGAGACTGTGCTAAGCAGGTTGGCTCAGAAGTCGCTATTGGATAGCTCCTGTGTCCTGCCTGGAACTTACGTCGTCGCAGTATGCACGTACATATCCCTTACACATACGGACACACCCAGCTCCCAGGTACACATTGCAGATATAAGACAGATTCCAGAGGGCAGTGACTGTGTGTCCTAGAGGTCCAGGCAGGACCTTCAAGTCCACCAGCTTGAGCATAGGCACCTCTGGGTGCACCTCTAGCTGTGAGCTGTCCGGCTCCTGTGCCTCATGAGCTAGAGCAGGTGCCATCCTGCTCCATGGGACCCAGTCCTGGAAAGACCCGCTTTTGATGCACGCTGAGCCCAGGTGGTAAGCAGCTGGGCCCAGAGACAGAACAGCAGTTGGGGCCAGCATCCAGAGGCTGCACAACTTTCTATGGTTTATAAGGCCTTTTCAGGCCTGTATGTGGTCTGTCCAGTGAGGGCTCTCCAGGACCCCCCACTGGACCCCTGAGAGTACAGGTCAAGCCGCCCTTTGTTGTACATTGCGTTTCTTCTCTTTCTTTGAATTCTGAAGGTTGGAAGCGATCCTTGACAAGGCCCCTCCGTGCCCTGAACCTGCTCAAAGCCAGAAGGCTTGGCCAACTGCCTCCATGCCAGTGACCTCCCCTCCCTGAGCCTCGGTTTCCTTCTTTGACAAGTGGACCATGTGGTAGTTGGCTAGGGCACCCCGTGCTTGTTGGCAAAATCAGCTCAGTTGGTTGCTGGGGATGCCCTGGGTGATTCACTGGGCCAGCCTGCCCTCCTGGCTGGAGCAGACCTGGCCTCTCCACCTCCACCCCTGCAGCCACCACCACCTACAACAGGGGTCTTGGAGTGCCACTGAGATGCAGAGTTGTAGCTTTGGATGTCACTAGTGCAGTCTAATGTGGGCAGCCTGGCTCCTCCTCCGGGCCCTGACAACGCCTTGGCTTCAGCCATGGGGCTTGGAGAGTTGAGAAGGAGTGGGAGGGAAAAGGAACTTTAGCCAAGCTATTGCTTGAGGAAAGGCAGCCTCAAGATGTTTCCCTAGTCCCCTCCAATTCCAACTGGCTTATACAGCTCCTGTGCAATTCTGGAACAGTTAAACCAGTTACTGGAGAACTAGTTGGAGTTCTAACCTCACTTATGGAGGTCCCATGTGTATCAGAGTAAAACTTGGCTCCATGGAGTGTTCAATGATTCTGGCTTTTTGGAAATAGATGACCAAGTCTTACTTCCAAGGTGTCTCTGGGTGAATTTGAGCCTCTAACCTTTTGGTGAGCAGCTGAGCGCACCACCCAGGAACTCCTCAAAACACAAAATAATAAAACCTTGATGTCCTTGAGTAGAATCTGATTGATGGTGACCCCATGCTTCTCCAGACATGATAGAGTTCAAATACCAGACTAAATACAAAAGTGATATCATGGCAGGTGGGGGGCGGGGTTAATTAGGGAACTTGCAGATGTCTTTAGATTAGGAAAAAACCCCAAAACTCAAACCAGACCCATTCTTGTTGAGTCCGCTCTGATTCATGGTGACCCATTGTGTTGCAGAGTAGGCCTGAGCTCCATAGTGTTTCTTAGCTTTATGCTTTATGAAAGCAAGTCACCAGGCCTTTCTTCAAATACTCCTCTGGATGTATTTGAACTGCCATTTTTGGATTAATATTGCTGTTGTTGGGTGCCTTGGAGTTGATTCTGACTCATATTATCACCCCCATGTGAAGGAGAGTAGAACTGCCCATAGGATTTCCTGTTGTTAAGTCGGTTCCCACTCATAGCAACCCTGTATAGGGTTTCTGAGGAGTGGCTGGTGGGTTCAAACCACAGATCTTTGGGTTAGCAATCCAGTGCTTATCCTACAGCACCACACTGGGACTCCTAGGGTTTCCTGGTGGTGGTGATTATGTGCTGTGGAGGCTGTTCTGACTCATAGCGACCCTATACAGGGTTTCTGAGGCTATAAATCTTTACGGGAGCAGAAAGCCTCATCTTTCCCCATTGGAACAGCTGGTAGTTTCGAACTGCTGACCTTGAGGTTAGTAGCCCGACTTGTAGGCTGTTGTTTTTATGGAAGTCAATTGCCAAGTCTTTTTCTTTCAAGGACTGGCTGGTGGGTTTGAACTGCTACCCTTTCAGTTTGCAGCCAAGTGCTTGTTTAACCCTTACACCACCAGGATAGTAGCAAACCAGAAAGACCAACCCACTGACATTGAGTTAATTCCAACTCACAGTGAACCTATAGGATGGAATTGAACTGACCCATGCAGGGTTTGCGAGGCTGTAAATCTTTGCAGAAGCAGACTAGCTACCTCAGAGTGGCTGCAGTCCAAACAGTCCAACGGTTAACCCAGGGAACAGGGAACGAACCGCCAGGGTTCCCAGAGTGTAAACTTTGCACCACCCTCAATAATGAGAGTCCTCAATAATGAGAAGGAACTAGGGACTCACATTTAGGAGACTGGGGCAAAGGCTCTGAGGAGTGGAGATGAACTTGGCATTCTGGGACCAGCAAAGAGACCAGTGTGGCAGTAGCCTGGGGTGGAGGGCAGAGGAGAGGAGGAAAAAGGGAAGGCTGGGTTGGTAAGATGGCTGAGGTGCAAGAGTGTATCCTTCTTAGTCCAGCCAGGCTGGGTTTGGCTTCACTCCTGCATCTGATGGGAAGCTAAGGGGGAGGCCTGGGGGTGGGGGCAGGCCTGGGAGTGGGGAGCAACGTGATCTGACTTATGGTTTGGAAGGATTGCTCTGGCTGCGGCAGGCAGCGGGGATTGGAGGGGCTCCGGAGGAAGGAGGGGGAGAGTGAGCAGGGAGGAGGCTACTGCAGTGGTCCAGGCGGGAGACAGGCACCTAGCCAAATGCTGTGAGCTCTCTCTGTACCCGCCCACCGTCCACTCCACCTTCTAGATAAAGCTATCCTGACCCTACCTCTCCTCGCCTGCTGCCTGGGAACCCCCACTCAACCCCACTGAGTAGGACTGTCTGTCCAAGTCTGTTTGTCTGTGAGCAGCTGAAATCCCTAACACTATCCAGGACTGGGATCTGACCTGCAGAAAGGAACCAGTAAAGTGTAGTAAATGAATGATGGAGCCCACGTGTGTTCCCCAGGCGTGTGCACAAGCGTGCACATGCACACACACACTCACAGACTCATATCCTGTGATGAAGATTTGGAGGGCAGGGATGGGGGACTTTGGAGTAGGCATGACCCTGGAGTCTGAGAACTGTACAAGCCTCCTCTTTCCCGGGTGTGTTGGTGATGGTAGCTAAAGTTCCATTCCTTAGGAATGACCAAAGGGGAGGGGAGGGTGACAGGGCTAAACCACTCACTGACTGTTCTGAGGGGCTCTGGGGCTGGAAGGAGTGAGGCTGCCACCTTCATCACCCCCTTCCCAGGAAGAGGCAGCCCCAACCTCTTCCTGGCGTCCTGAGCTTTGGGCCAGGGTGGGCAGGAAGAGAGAGCCAGGAGGACGAGAGCTCTGGAAAGCAAAAAGAGGGTGGTTTGTGGGGAGATCCAAGGCAGGCGGGATCCAGGCTTTGGAACGTTGGAGGTTTCCGGCCACAGAGGCAGGCCTCTGGGGAGCCAAGAGGGGCGGGGAGAGGCACACAGTGACCAACGGACAGAGGACAGAGACGAGAGGCGGGGACCAGGGGGCTACTGACCTGTAGACTGGGCAGGGCACACCCTAATCTCTGGAGACCCCAGAGACAGACAGACAGACAGACGCACGTCTGTGGTTTCAGGTGCCACAAGCCCAGCCCGATGCAGGCAGCCTGGCTCCTCGGGGCCCTGGTGGTCCCCCAGCTCCTTGGCTATGGCCAGGAGGCTGGGGGAACGCAGAGGGAGTGGGAGGGAGGTTGGGGAGATGCCCAGGAGGAGGAGCTGGAGAGGGAGGCTTTGATGCTGAAGGTGAGTTGGGGTGTGTGGGGTCTTCACGGGGGAGTCCTAGGCTGGAAAGAGGGGAATTCCAGGGTTAGGTAATGGGTTCGGAGCATGAGAGTTACGGGTTGAGAGGGAGGACTTCAGCTCCAAAAGCAAGTTCAAGTTCAGGGCTGGAGAGGGGTGGATGGAGAGTGTGGCCTAGTGACCCTGATCTCCTTTCCGTCCCCAGCATTTACAGGAGGCCCTGGGACTTTCCGCTGAGAGGGGAGACGAAAGTCTTGCCGGGACCTCAGAGGACAAAGAGGTCTGGGGGGCAGAGGAGGAGGGGCAGGGAGAGGAAGGAGGAGAAATCACACCAACCCCCTCCTCCAGTCCCAGCCCTTCTCCCACCCCTTCTCCCACCCCCGAGGATAACTTGTCTTACATCCGTAAGTACCCAGAAGTCCCGCCCTGTCCCCAGGCCTCCGAGGGCCCATCTCCTAGCCCGCAGCCTTCTCAACCTTCCCAGGTACTCACTCGGGTCCCCGTTCCCTAAGCCTCCCCTCGCCCCCAACCCACCCCCAATCAGCGCACGCCCTATCGCTCCGCAGTGGGCCGCCTGGCTGGCCTGGATGCCGGCCTGCACCAATTGCACGTCCGTCTGCACACGTTGGACACCCGGGTGGTCGAGCTGACCCGGGGGCTGCGTCAGTTGCGGGAGGCGACAGGCGACACCCGCGACGCCGTGCAAACCCTGCAGGAGGCGCAGAGCCGCTCTGAGCGCCTGTACGGCCGCTTAGAGGGTGAGTCCGCGTAGCGCCACGCCGCACCGCACCAGGCGGGGACAATGGAACGACCCGGGCCAGATACGGGGCTGCTCGGAGGGTAGGGCTGAGGCTAGGGAAAAACCCTGAATGTCAGGGACAAGGGGCCCTCTGGAGATTTGGGGTGTGTTGGCAGATCGGGTGAAGTTGGAGCAACCAGGAGGGTGACTGCGGAGAGTGGGAGGGGCATTGGAGGAGGAACTCTCCTCTTTCAGAGGCGCGAACTCTACTCCGCCCGCGACACGCCTCCTTCAGTCCAGCCCCCGACGGTCTGGCCACGCCCCCGGAGGCCGCAAGGTTCAGACTCCGCCTCCTCCCCGCCCCCAGAGGCCCTGACCCCGCCTTACTCCTCCCCCGAATACTCTGACCCCGCCCCTTCGGTTCCGCCCCGTCCACAGGCTGCCTGAAGGGTCTGCGACTGGGCCACAAGTGCTTCTTGCTCTCGCGGGACTTCGAGGCTCAGGCGGCTGCGCAGGCGCGTTGCGTGGCGCGGGGCGGGAGCTTAGCCCAGCCTGCCGATCGGCAGCAGATGGAGGCGTTGAGCCGGTATTTGCGCTCGGCGCTCGCTCCGTACAACTGGCCCGTGTGGCTGGGCGTGCATGACCGGCGCGCCGAGGGCCTCTACCTCTTCGAGAATGGCCAACGCGTGTCCTTTTTCGCCTGGCACCGCGCGGTCCGGCCTGAATCCAGCGCCACGCCGCACCCTCTCAGCCCGAACCAGCCCAACGGCGGCACCCTGGAGAACTGCGTGGCGCAGGCCTCGGACGACGGCTCGTGGTGGGACCACGACTGCGATCGGCGCCTCTACTACGTCTGCGAGTTCCCCTTTTAGAGGGCCGGCCGGGGCCTTGCGCCCTCCCTGCTCTGGCTGGGTCTCCCGCAGGCCGGGATCCCTTCCTTGCCCTTGTCTGTCCTTGGAGCATGGGCACCAGGCAAGGTCTGGCGCCAATAAAGTCTTGTGGAATTCTACTTGAGCAACCTGGGGAGAGGCCAGGAAGGGCAAGACTAGCCTTTTGGGGCCCTTCCCTAGCGTGTCTTTACAAGTAGTAGATGAAAACACTCTGTTCAGTGGTTGAAATCCATCCAGTGGCGAAGAAAGACTTCCGATCTGCTCCCATTAAAGATGACAGCCTAGGAAACCCTATGGGGCAGTCCTCCTCCGCCTTACAGTGTCGCTGTGAATGGCATTGACTCCGTAACACACAATTATAATGACATCAGTGATGGAGAATATATATGCCAATGTACACATGATGATTTGCACTGATACCCAGAGTAATGAGTACCCACTGTTAGCAGACACCTCTATCCCCCAAGAATCCCCACTGGTGGGGGTCTTTGGTGCCCAAAGCCTGTGGATCATATCTCTGTCCTTTGTTCTGGTCCTGGTCAGAAAGGTCGGAAACAGGAGCCAATGGTTCTGACAAGTCCTGTAGCAAAGTTTGGTTCATTTTGCTTAACCAGCGTGTGAACAGAGCCCTGGTGACGTAGGATAAGCACTAGCCTGCTAGTAGCCACAAAGTTGGCAGTTTAAAACCCACCAGCTACTCCACAGGAAAAAGATGAGGCTTTCTACTACTGTAAAGATTTAGTCTTGGAAACCCTTTATAGGGTCACTAGGAGTGTAGCGGTTACAAATCGGGCTGTTAACCTCAAGGTCTGTAGTTTGAAACTACCAGCTGTTATGCAGGAGAAAAATGAAGCTTTCTGCTCCGGTAAAGATTTATAGCCTTGGAAACCCTGTACAGGGTTGCTAAGAGTCAGAACCAACTCCACAGCACATAATCAACTAACCATGAGTTAGAATCAGTTTGATGGCAGTAGGGTTTTAGTGTGTACAAGTGGTATGGCATAGCATCAAACAAACCTTTGACACCAGCTGTCCCTCCATGGTACTCTGCTTCTCTGCTGGGTTTGATAATTAGATGCAATGGCCACACAATTCACACACCATACATCATGGATATGGGGTCATTAGGGAAGTGCCAGGTTACAGGAAGGAGTCCTGGTGTGGTGCTGTAAGGTAAATACTGGATCGCTAACTGCGAGGTTGGTGGTTCAAGCCCACCAGCTGCTCCTCAGAAACCCTCTCCTTCCTGTCTGTGAGAAAAGAAGTCAAACCCCTCCCCTCTGAGCCTCAGTTTCCTCATTTGACTCCTAGACAAAGCCACCCAAACCTTGTATGGCTGATGCTCAAGTAAAGACAAGGAAGTGAGCGTTGGGGAAATGGTTGACCACAAGGCCAACACTACCTTCCTCTCCCAACATCTGTCATATCTTCCTTCCCTGGGGTCAGGGAGGACGTCCAGTTCCCCAAACTGGGCCTCAGCATTACAGCTCTCCTTAGGAAAGGGGCACTTGCTTTGGAATCGCCCCTACTGTCTCTCCTAATACAGCATCATGAACCTGGCCCTGACCCTGCGGTGGTCATGGGACCCAGGGGGCCCGTGTGTGCCCCTTCCCCTCCCTCAGCCCCAGCATCACTGGACCCACCAGTGAGGAGAATAGCCACTTCTTGTCATCTTCAGAAGGGATGAGTTCTCCCTCCTGAAATGTCCCTTTTAGGAGTCACTTCCTAGCCACAAAGCGCCAGACCAATTGTCAAGTTGACTGAGTCACGACGACCCTTAAAAATTTCAATGTCTGAGTTTCTGGAAGTAGACGGCCTTTTTAAAAAAATCCCTGAGGTGCCTACGGGTGGGCTCAAGCTGCCAACCTTCTGTTAGGCAGCTGTGTTAACCGTATGCATCACCAGGGGCCTCCCAAAGTCCCATAAAAAAATGGTTGCTCTTGCTGTCCTGTGAATTCTGACTCAAGGCGGCCCCATGTGGCAGAGAACTAGTCCCTCTGGTTTTTAAGGTGGTCATTTTTACAGGAGTAGATGGCCACATCTTTTTGCCACAAAGTGGCTGGTGAATTGAATCGCTGACCTTTTGATCTTGCTTTAAATGCTGCGCCACCAGGGCTCCTTCCAAGGCTCCATGTTGTTGAGTGGCATGGAGTCAGTTCTGACTCATAGCAACCCTGTATTAAGGTTGCCAAGGAGCAGCTGGTGGGTTTGAACTGTTGAGTTCAAGATTTGCAGTCCAGTGCTTATCCTACAGCACCAGGGGTCTGGAATCTTTTATCTGCAAGGGCCCGTTGCATATTTATAACATAGCAATATAAATTTATATTGCTATGAAAAACATTAGATTTATGGAATTTAGAGTCCCATCTCCTCCGGTTGCCTGGGCAGGGTCAGACCAAATGATTTTGTGGCTTCGACGTTGCCCCCATGGGCCGGACGTTCTCCACTGCCGCTGTATAGGGTTTCTGAGCCACAGCTCCATAGGATGTACAGAAAAGAGGGTGCGTGGCTTCAACTCAAGGAGGTCTCAGTGGGGGGACTGAACACCTGAACTAAAAAGTCTCCCCACTCTGAGCTTCCATTTCCTGGGACGGGGCCGGCACATCACGGCATCTTAATAGTGCCAAGAAGGCCATTCAGGTAGATGCTAACTAAGCACCTATCGTTGCTCAGAGGTTCTGGAAAGTACAAGGGCAAGTCAAAACGTAGTGCCATAAATAGAAACCTTTATTAAACAAAAACCTCAGAATGGGAAGCTTTTGTTTCTCGACATATCCTCCATTTTAGGTTTATACACTGCCTAGACTGCAAATCGATTTGAAACACAAGGTTGGCGGTTCAATATCACCACTCGCTCCTAGAAAACTATACTGGGTCGGTATGGGTCAGAACCGACTCTACGGCACTTAACAACAACAACAATATTTCCCCAGGAGTCCTGGTGTGGCACTGTAGGTTGAACACCAGACTGCTAACTGCAAGGTCAGCAGTTCAAACTCATCAGCCACACCTTGGAACTCTACACAGGGTTGTAATGAGTTGGAACTGACTGGATGACACTTAGCAACAACAAACTCTTCCCTGAGGAGTCCTGGTGTCGCGCTGCAGGATAAGCATTGGACAGTTAACGGAAAGCTAACTACAAGACTGTAGGTTCAAACCCACCAGCTGCTTCTTGGAAACCTTATAGTGAGTTGGAATGGACTTCACAGCGCATACCAATACCCTACTGTCACGTTTTCCCCTGGTCCCTCTCACTAAAGAATTAGTCCCACAGACTTGCTGCTTCTCAGTCCCACACAAACAATAAACATTCACTTAGATGCTATTTATTGCAAAGTGAAAGTACACTTCAGAGAGCCAAGTGGCTCTGTCTCTGCAAGTAGAAACCACCTGGTAAAACTGGGGAGCATAGATTAAGTGAAAGTGAAAACACACTTCAGAGAGAGAAGCCGGTCTGTCTCTGTGAGTGGAGAAGACCCTTTGGGGTTGGGGTGCACTGGGCTTATAGAGTGGGCTACTACATATTGATTAGGAGGAGTGGTATATTGACTAGTTGTCGTTTTTCAGTAAAGGGGCGCAGGTATTTTGGAAATGGAGTGCCTTCTGCAGTTGTCAGCTCTAGGTACTATCTTCATGGGGTGTCTGCCTGTGACCAGCTGCTTCTATTAGGGTTTCAGGTCCTCAGATCCTTATCTCTGTCCCCAGGCTATTCATCTCAATGTTACTATTCTTGTTGGACTAGAGATGTCCTCCCCCTTTATTGATTCCTTTCTAGGAGGCGAGGACTCTGAGCAAAAGGGTGAATATGAAGCCAGAGTAAGAGAGGTCCAGGGCCCAGGGGTCCTAACTTGTCCCTGACAGTGGGATGCTTGATTTTCCATCTAGGGATGCCCAGGGTGGGCCAGGAACCTCCTCTGGACGTTCACCTGGCTTCCCCTATTACAACCCCCATCACTCTAGAAACTACTGTATGGTCTATGTCAGTCCTAGGGTGGTGGTGATTGTCACATCTCCTCAGTGCCAATGAGGTCCAAAGTGGGGAGTGGAGGGCGTTTGCAAGGACTGTTTATGCAACTACGCCAGTGCGCAGTATTCGAGGCTGAGTCGTGACTCAGGCGCAGAGTTTGAAGCTGCTTCGTGACTCAGGCCTGTGTGTGGGAGGCCTGCCCACTCCTCCAGGAAGTCCTCTGGGGCCTGAGCAGGCCAGAGTTTGCCAACGTCTCCTTGGCACTCTGCAGGACACCTGCGGTTTGAGAGACCAGAGTGAGTACCTAGAAAGGCCTGGCCAGATGATTGGAATCGATGTGCTCTGGGATCCCACGAAAGTGAAGGGAGTAAAGGATGCTAAACCCAAGGTTACCCAGCGGAAGGAGGAAGACCCAGGGACCGCAGCCAGACTACAAACCCCAGGAGGCCTAGCGGAAAGCCCTTTACAACCTTCACAGAACCACGTTTCCCAGCAGCCATCGGGGACACGCCCAGGCCACGTCTCAAGCACAGTCCCCTCCTATGCGGTTGTTGCCTACATTTCCCAGCAAGCGTGGTATCACGCCCTCAGAAGGAGGTCAGAGATCGCCACTCTCCAATCAGAGCTTAGACTTCTGCTCCCCACCCAAAAGACTTCGTCCCGAAACCCTTTGGGAAATGTAGTCCGGTATGAGAAAAACCTATTGTTAAGTAGCGTGGAGTCGGTTCCGACTCATAGCGACCCTGCACAGGGTTTCCGAGGCTGTAAAGCTTTACGGGAGCAGAAAGCCTCATCTTTCTCCCCGCGGAACGGCTGGTAGTTTC